TAGCAAGATGGAGTAGGGATTGTGGAATGACCATGCCCCCTTGTGGAGGAGGGTGCTTTCTCTTTCCTTTTTTTCCCTCTCTCTGACAAGAACATGTACCCTCTGGCAATAAAATATAAAATAATTTCAAAAAATAGTATCATTACCTAATTTCAAATAAATGATCATCATTTGAGAAAACTTGCAGCAACTTATAAACATACCAAAGTAGCTACTGTTGACCCTTGAACAATGCAGGGGCTGGGGCTTCATCTCCCTCCTCTACCAATGCTACCAAAAATCTGCATGTAACTTTTAATTCCCCCAAACTTAACTACTAAGGGGCTACTGTTGACTGGAAGCTTTACTGATAACATAGTCAATTAACACATTTTGTCTGTTATGTGTATTATGTTGTATTCTTACTATAAAATAAGAGAGAGAAAATGTTAAAAATATCATAAGGAAAAGAAAATATATTTATGATATTTATTGAAAAAAACAAAAACTCTGTATAAGTGGACCTGCATGGTACAGGGGTCAGCTCTATTGTGTAGAATATCAAAACTTGTAGATATAATTTTAATAACATTACAAGTTTTTAAATCTTTTGTTATTATTTATTATATATTAAAGAAACATAAATAACAACGTGCATTTTATAATCAAATAAAGTGTATTTAAACTGTTTACTTTTAAATCATGTATTTATAAACAAATGCAGTCTACATCATTGAAACTGACTCTTAAAGTTCTGAAACCCAAAAAGTAAAAAAAAAAATCACTGAATTTCTTTGACCACCTAGAACAGTTAATAAAAATACTTGTTATATTAGAGTGATGCAAGTGCAGGGATTCTTAATGAAGAGTCCATAAATGGGCTTCAGAGGTTTGTGAACCTCTGCAATCATATGCAAATGTGTGTATACACACACACACACACACACACACACATACACACACAAAATCTTCAAAAGTTCATGTGAAATATGTATTATGAAAAAACTATGCATGGATTTCAAAGTTTTTCCCATGAAAATAAACTTGTACTTTAATTCCATTTTTCCACTAATTTCTTGACATGTCCTGGTATATGCAAGGATCACATTTGGCAGGAAAGAAACCCGAATTCTTTAAAACCTATTTTTTTTTTTAAGATTTTTGCCATAAGGTTCATGTGCTCACTGGAGACAGAGAGAGACAGAAATCACCTCCTGCAGTGGCTGCACCACAGTCTCTTCTCTTCAGTTCTCCTCTCAAGATTCTAGGCACACTTGCATGCACATGAGTTTGCACACATGCCCAGCATAATCTTCAAGCCACAGTGTTCAGGACCCGAACCTCAGATTTGTCCATGTGGGATCCAGCCACCTTAACCTCTACACCACCTGCTGGCCCCTTAAAAAACATTTAAAAAGTACTTAACAGAAAATTTGGTCAGATTCTTCTGTAGTAGGAGCAGTTTTACAGGTTGTTGTATATTTGGGGAATGATGCTACTCTAAATTATAATGGCAACTTATTTCATACATACCTATTAGGAATATGAACTAAAATATTATAATCAACTAGGGTTTACATATACTGGCCGCTTATACTATGTGCCAAATACTGTTATAGGGAATGGTTATAAGTACCACATAGCATATTATCTCATTTAATCATTACAACCCTAAGAGGCAAGTTTTACAGCAATCCTTCTTTAGCAGATGAAAAAACCGAGGCATAGAAAGGTTAGATGGCTTGCCTAGGGTTGTGTATCTGGTAAATGGCAGAGGCAAGACCCAAATCCAGTCTGTCTTGTATCAGAATAAGTGTTCACATTCATTATTCTGTTCTGCTTAGACATGCTTTGAAAAATACCAAATGCTATATAGACACTAGAGGTCTTCAAAAAGTTAATGGAAAATGTGCATTATGATAAAACTATTCATGGATTTAAAAAAAAATCTTTAGCACCAAAATAAACTCATATTTTAATTCCATTTTTCCAACTTTTGAAGTAACCTCATATGTTAATACATTTTTGTTTTCTAAAATGTAAGCAGAGTATTTTGTAGAAATGCCTGATTAGAACTGAGTAGTGTGGTCTTTAGGTAGAAATAAGCTATTCATATAATTTTGAGGGCCAGCAGGTGGCATGGTGGTTGAGGCACTGGATTCCCACATGGCTGACTGTGGTTCAAGTCCTGGACATGGCATCTTGCTTTCTCACTTTCCCTGCTGTCTGTCTCTGGTGAGTGCACATGTCCTAAAAAAAAAAGTTTTGAAATGTACAGAGAAAACATGCAAAGTTTATATCTGTATTATGTATTATAAATCTGTTCTTAACATATTAAGATGAAATTGTCGGGAACCAGCAGTTAGTGTAATGGCTATGTCGCTGGACTCCCACGTAGTCAACCACTGTTCATGTCCCAGACCCAGTGGCTTAAAACTCACGCTGGGCGCGTGTGCGTGCGTGCCCAAGATCCCGAGAGGAGAATGGAGAAGGGATTGCGGCGTGACCATCCCCCCGGGGGGTGATTTCTCGCTTTCTGTCTCCATGTCTCTCTCTGTCTGTCTGGCGAGCGCACACACCCTATAGTGAAAACCTCTCCAAAAAAAAAAAAAGATGAAATTGTCTAATTCCTCCTGAAAGGGTTTTTTGAAGATATTTTTGCTTTAGGGCACATGTGCTCGCTAGAGACAGGGATAAGGCAAGAAATCACCCCCTAGTGGGGATGGCCATGCCATAATCCTTTCTCCATTCTCCTCCTGGGATTTTGAGCATGCATGCACTTGCCTTGTGCCTGGCATGAGTTTTAAGCTGCCAGGACCGGGACTCGAACCATGATTGGCCATATGGGAATCCAGCGCCTTCACCACTACACCACCCACTGGTCCCAAAAAATAACTTAATACCACAGGGTAGATGTGTTGACCAGAGGTAGAGGAAGCACCTCTCCAATAGTGGGCAGGCATGGTTACACTGCAGTCACTTCTCTTTCATTTCTCCATCCTGTTGGGATTTTGGTCATGCACACACATGCATCCAGTATGTTTTTCAAGTTGCTGAGCTAGGAACTGAACCTCAGTTGGCCAAAGTGGGATTTGGCTCCCTTAAATACTAGACTGCAGGACTGACCCCCCCCCACCCGACACACCAATAATTTATTACTGGTATCATGTAACTAGACCCTATGCTATATAATGCCTTTGTTAGTCTTGATTATTATTTTCAGGGAACACTGACCACTTTTGGTTTAAGTCATAAAAAATATATAATAGTCATTTGATGCCAGCTGTGGGAGCTTAGAGGTAAAGCTATGCTCTGCTTCCACACGGGAAAGTTTTGGGTTTGCATCCTGAGGTATGTGCATGCTGGGCATGCACACATGTCGATGATCCTGGCTGGCCGAGGCTAGGGGTAGGATTGTGGCATGAAGACCCTCCTGGAGGTGTACCCCTCTTTCTGTTTCCCTCACTCATTGAGTAAACAAACTTTTTAAAAAGGCATTTGATTCAAGGAAAGGACAGTTACAGTACTCTAAAGAGGATTTTTCCCCCACATGGTATAGTTACTCATGTTTTAAAATAGATTTTTTTAATGGTAATATTAACAATTTTATCTGTTTTTATAATGTATTATATTCTGTTATGCAACATGGGATTTCTTCTATTTAATGATTTTTTTTCCAAAACATTTGAATTTATAAAAAGCTGAATAAAAAGAAGATTGTCATTTTGGTGGCAAACACTTGTGAATGAGTTCCTTTATATGAATATCTTTTTAGTTTTCTATTTTCCTTAAGCAAAACAAATTATATATAGCCATCACAAATCACCATAATTTGGAAAAGTGTTTATAGTGATGCAGTTGAATTGTCTGATAACCATATTTTTTTTAAAAAGAAAAAAATCCTATTCATAGCATGAAGAATGTTAAATAGAAATACCTCCATATGTGAAAGAAATGGTTTTAAATGGAAAACTTTAAGATCTAATTATGAAAATACATGATGAAGCTAGGGATGTTTGACAAGTCAATATAAATTTTGTTGTCATAATGTTGGCTTTTAAGTTTCTTAAAACAATTATAAGAAAATGTTGATAAATTATTAACTGGCAACCTCCCCCCACAACTCCCTTCAACTGCTCTTTTTGTCATTCCATATGTTGGTCTACAAAGTCAGGAAAGTTGGGCCATCCTGTGGTCTGATGGTTAAGGTGGCTGTATCTCACATGGCTGACTCTGGTTCGAGTCCTAGACCCATTGGCTCGAAACATATGCCAGGTGCATGTCTGCACATGCCCAAAAATCCTAAAAGAAGGGAGAAGTGGAAGAGAAGGGATTGTGGTGTGACCATTCCCATGAAGGGTGCTCTCTCTCTCTCTCTGTCTCTGTATCTCTCTGTGGTAAGCACACTCACCCTCTGGCAGTGTTCCCCCCTCAAGAAACTTACCTTTACAAACTCTTTTTAAAAAAATGACTATGTTACTACTAACCTCTGCTTATTGCAGGGAAGTCAGCAGGTGCTCTTGTAAGTGCAAAGCTGGACACACCACTAGCAAAGTCTTTAAACCAGTCCAACAGTTTAATTTGCTGATGGCATGGCTTTCTTGGGATTTACATAATATTGAATAGAAAGTATTCCAAGCCTCAACCCTCATCACACAATTTTTAAACCAACATTTATTTCATTTTTGGCATTCCATTGCAAGCAAAGTATGGCAGCTGCTTCAAGAATGCGTGTGAATGTGTATGTGTGTGTTTGAGTACAAAGAGCCATACTGAAATTACAAAGTGACAAAAATAAGATTTAGTAACTCAAATTGGAATTTGCCTGGGATTCATGAGGGACTGTTACTCTCCCTACATTTTGACAGTGAGTTTTTCAACTGAGTGTAGGTGCTTACTCTTTGCCAGTGAAGAGGAGACTCTCAGCATGAGGAAATTACAGGAAAAAGTGTCATCCCAAATGCTTACTAAGGGTGTTAAATAAAAGCTACTCAGGTAAGAAGTTCAGTGCTTTACATAGATAGTAAACTACGCATATTATTTTATTTGTAACCCCATGTGTTAGGAAGGGACACTGTTAAAGTAACAACCACTTAAAAAACATCAACCAACAAACCAGTATTTAATTTGGTATTTCAGATTAATAATTAAAATCAAATGGAAGCAGTGTGTAAAGTAACTAAAATAATTCATAACAAAAGCCATTAATTCAGTCTCTCCTTATTGGCAATATGATAACTCAGCATGGGCTAACCTACAGTGTACCTGTAGAGATAGAATAAGAGTGTAAGTTAGCAAAGCATTAAATAAGATTTCAGGGAGCCCCTAAAATTATTTTTGTTTAAGAACTTTAAAACTGATTCTCTGTAGGCAAAAACTGATTAACTACACATTTCTTTCATTCACTAGCAAAATTCATCAGTAAAATATTTTGAAGTATTTTTACTTCCCAGAAATTTCACGAGTTTGAAATAGTCATCCCAGCAATTAGTTGGAATTTCTATTAAAACCTAAGCCTTTAATGAAGACATGCTTCTGAAAATAAGGCAATTTTTCTACAATCGGCTTATGAACAGAAAACAAATCTTTGGCTTTTAGTTAAAATGGCAGGAAGGATTTGGCAAAAAGAAATACTAAAGAACCAAGCAATTAAAAAGCTCGTAATAAGCGATGGGAAACTCCAAACCCCATCAAGGTCAATAGAGTACCTAAGGCACCTCAGGTTCGATGATACAATCATCTTTGCTTAGAGTTCTAATTATCTATATACATGATTTTTACCATCTCGAGAATGTGAAGATGAAAAGGTATGTCCAATAGTGGTATTGTTAATAAGGAAATCATAAAAGTTGATAAATGGGAGAGAGAGTGGAACTCATCTGTTCTACCTCCCATATTTACAAAAAAATGAGGAAACTGAGGCCCAGCCAGGAAACAGATAAAACATCGGTTTGTTTCCAGATTCCTAATACAGTTCACTTAGGGCAGGACAGATTCTAGATTTTAACTTTCATTGGCTCGTAAACCATGGATGTGAAGGGTTTCAGAGATGTGAATTTGAAAAAAATAAATCCCCATCAAATCCCCAAAGGCAAGTTGGAAAGGTATAATACTTTACTGTCTTAATTCCTTTATACCATGTGTTGGACAACTTAACTAATAATGTTAACTGATTTATACAATTCCTTTCAATCCTATCTAAAAATAGCAGGCCAAAATTAAAGAGAAAGTTACATAAGATTCCATTTGCCCATACATAAGGCCATGATATTTAATGGGAACCTTCGTTTCTTAGGAGAAAGAAGACATCCAATGTCCAGTTCAGCAAGAAGCTTCCTGATTAGTATCCAGTAGACTTTCTCCATTCTTCGTTGGGGAAGATGAGGCTTATGTATCTAAAAATCTCTACAAAGCTCACATACAAGACAGTACATCCTAGATTTGTGACTGATAAGAGCATTTAAGGCTGTCGTTTTCAAGTATAAAAGTTTAGTGTTCCATTACCCAATCTGTGCAACAGACGTAGCTATAATCTCAAGTCATGGAAATTAACAGAGGCCCACCAAAGACATAAAGAAATAATAATTTAGACAACAGTTTAAATGTGGGAAAGCTGCAAAAAAAAAAAAAGTTATGGATTAGATTATGTTTGTCTAAACTGCATTAGGTTGTTCACACTGAAGCTTTGTCTAACACTATCATCTGTTGCATGGTAGTGGAATAAGGCAGATCCACAGCAGACCAAACAAAATGAATTAAGTAACAGAGCTAATAATTAAGATGGTTCACCTCTAACAGGTCTATGGCCCGTCTCCCCAGAGAAAGATTAGAAATGGCTCCAGTATACCAAATAAACTTCACAATGAACATGAAAATTTTTCTTCAACTTTTTTTTTAACAGAGCCTTTACCTAGGGACCAATACACACTGCTCATGGATGAAATTAACATTATTTTACTTCTGGCTTGATGTACTATTGTGAAATGTAACACAGCTGGAGAAAATGGGTATTTGAAAGCCAGTATTTAGCTGACTTTCTTGGTGTGTAAAGTTGTAGTTTTAACCTTTGCTGTGGTTCCAGTATCTGTATCTGAAGAGTGACATTAGTTTTATTATGGAAGCAGCAGCTTTGTTACAAATTCCATGTAGCATGCTTGAATTCTAGATCTTTCTTTTTTAATACAACTTAAATAAAGTTTCTTGTGATTTGGCCAGCATATGCATTCTCATTCATTTGATGTACACAATGTGGGAATTTAGGAAAAAAAAATCACCAACTAGTTCCAAGAGCTAAATTGAGTCCAAGATTATGGAGTTTGACCCAAAATTTTAATCTGTAATTTTAGCATGTATCTCATGCACTTTGGGGAGCATCAAACTAAAGCTACAATTGCCAGAAGCCTTGTTACAGTTTAATGCACATTAACTAAAATGTGTACACTTTTTAGTGTTGATGATAAATGCATTTATGACCTTATTACACTTTTGGCATTCTTTAAGAAAGCACATTAAGCTTTAATATAGAAATATTTAGATTACATTTAACTTGTGCTCAAGTAATAGTAAAACATTTGTTCTTTTCGATCTCCTACATTCTCTCCTCAGGTATGGCCCATCTCCTGTACGCTTGGAGCGACCTTTGGCTATGTGGCTGGCCTTGTTATTTCACCACTCTGGATATACTGGAATAGAAAGCAACTTACATACAAGAACAATTAACTGAAGCAAAGAAGATATTTCTTTGTGCAGATTCCATAAGGGCTGTGCAGAAATGTATATGGTCAAAGCCAAGCAGTTCCATTTACAGCACTGTTTTTTTATGTAGTTATAACATGATGTGATTGTAGCTTTTTAAACTATGAAACCCCTGAGAGATTGTACCTTCTAGTTGAAATAAAGTATTTATAATAGATTGTGGCTTCAGATGCTGTTTACTGCTTCTTAGACCTTTAAGAAACATTCTTAATGAACTTTTTAGAATTCTGAGGACAGGTTTTTTTGTTTTTTTGTTTTTTTTTCTTTTCAAGTTTTAAACTGCTTCATTATAAGAGGTCTGAGTATAGGTGTAGCATTTCATATGCTTTCTGAGAGAAATGGACAGTTTTCTTGGCCACTGAAGATGTTTCTCACGTAATCAAACAACAGTTTATACATCTTGATCCTATTCTTTTTTTTACTGTGTGTTTCTTTGGGGTTAAAATGGCTATGATAGCCTCATCAAAAACAGTCTTCAATCCCTTCTGGGTTAAAGCTGAACATTCCACATAGCAGCATGCACCTATCTGGGAGGGAGAAAAAAAGTCACACATATAAAATCTTTTTATACAATGGGTATGACACAAACATCACTGTAAGGAAAATGATAAAATACAGCTATGCAAAAATAAACTTGTCATCCATATTCATAACATCAGAGATAGCCAACAGTTAAAATACTAGTATATGTCCTTCCAGACTTTTTCTACAAAAAAAAATCATTCATGAAATATATCCTGGGTATCTAACTATACGTCAAAGGCTATTTAGGTGCTAGGAGTACATCAATGAACTAACAAAAGAGCAATCTCTCTGCAGTGTAGCACCTGCATTTGCTTACATTCTTCTGTGGAGAGACACACAAAGGAAGATACCTAGAGCAGACAGTGTAAATGGCAGGACAAAAAGGAGAGAGGACAGAGTGAGGGAGATGAGGGAGGGCTGCTGAAGACACCGGTGGTGGTCCAGGAGGGCTTATCAGGTGAAGTCAGTGAGGACTACCTAGGGGAAGAGATCCAGGCTGAGGGGCCACAGATGCAAAGACTCTGATGCAGGAACATGCTCGGGGCATTCAAGAAACAGTTTCACATTGAAAAAGTGACATTTGAGCAAAAACCTGAAAGGAGTGAAAAGATGAATGAGTCCACAGAGCAGAGAATGTTCCAGGCAGAGAGTAGCAAAAGTCCATAGGACCTGAGGTAGAAAGTTGGGGAGACTGCAAGGAGGCCAGTGTGCTTGGAGTACAGTGAGTGAGGCCAAGGGAGCAGTGGTCTGTAAGCCACAATACACACTCTAGCCTTTTCCCAAAATGAGCTGTGGGAGGATTCTGAGCATAACAGTGACTTGATCAAGCTTGTATTTTGAGACTCATGGCTACTGTTGTTGAGATACCATCTAGAGTTTAGATAACATTTAGGGTTTAGGGAAGAGGTCTGGGCTAGAGATGGAAACTTGGAAGTCTTCAGTTCATAGACTGTTTAAGCCACAGAGAAGCTGACTGAGGCCTAGAGAGTGAATGTGGTGTAAGAAGCCAACTGCTGACCTCAGGAGCCCTCCAACATTCAGAGACAGGAGAGATGAAGGAATAAAGGAAAGGCCACTGAGGGGAGAAATCAAGGAAGCCAAGTGAATAAAGTGTTTCAAGAAGGGACAAACTGCCCAAATCAGCTGACAGTTCTAGATCTGGAACAGCCTCAACTATTTTTTTTTTCTGAAGCTACATAATAAATATGAACATCTTAACAGATATTTTACTATGAATTTTTAATAGATGCAAGGTTAGTTGGGGTTGTTGTCATAAATAATGTAGCATCTTTGTAGCACATCTCTAATAATTTTCTTTTTTTTATTGTAAACTCAAATTATAATTGTATATATGTATGGGGTACAAAGTAATGTTATGACATATGGGTATAGTATGGAATGATTAAATCAAGATATGTACCATATCTATCACCTGAAATACTTGTCATTTCTCGTGGTGAAAACATTTGAAATTAACTATCAGCAGTTTTGAAAATATAGAACACACTATTATTAACTATAGTCACTATGTCATAAAATATGTCTCAAAAAACCAAATTCCTCCTGTAACATTGTACTCTTTGACCAACACCCTAACAATTTTTTTTTCTTTTCTTTTCTTTTTTTAGAGACAGATTTTTTGCTATAGGGTGTGAATACTTGCCAGAGAGACAGAGAGAGGGGGGCAAAAAGACAGAAAGTGAGAAATCACCCCCTAGGGGGATGGCCACACCGCAATCCCTTCTCCTCCATTCTCCACTGGGATCTTGGGCATGCACACACGCATGCCCAGTGTGAGTTTTAAGCCGCTGGGTTCGGGACTCAAACTGCAGTCAATTACGTGGGAGTCCAGCGACATAAGCATTACCCCATCCACTGGTCCCAACCCTAACAATTTTCTAAGGATAATTTCCTACATAAGGAATTGCTTAATCAAAACTGTGTATTGGGCTACCCTGTGGTCCAGTGGTTAAGGGAGCAGGATCCTATATGGCTGACCATGCAATTAGAGTCCTGGCCCCCGCAACTTGAAAAACACACCGGGCATGTGTGTGCTTGCCCAAAAGCCTGACAAGAAAAATGGAGAAGGTATTGAAGCATGACTATGCCCCATGAGGGTGTTTTCTTTCCCCCAACCCCCTTCTCTGGTGAGTGCACATGCCTTCTGGCAATTAAAGATAAAATACAAGTGTAGATGATTTTAAGGCTTCTGCATGTTGTCAAGATTGCTTTTTTATTCACAATCAACAGTACGGTAGAGTGCCCATTTCCCTGCACCCTTGGATGGGAATTATGATGAATTTCTCACTTTGCCAATTTTATAGTAAGAAATTTACTTTTGACTACTTATGAGTTGACTGTATTTCCTATCTTGAATGGCAAACTGCATTTTTCTTTTCTTTTTTTGGTGAATTCTCCATTGATGTTCTTTATTTATCTCATTTTTCTATTGGGATATAGATCTTTGATTTATCTATATGCAAGGGGTTCTTGTATACTAAGGATGAGTATAGTACACTCATTCTTCTGCCACCCAACAACTTTGTTACATGACTTTTCACTTTATTTCTGGTACTTGATATGGTATGAAGTTCTTATGTAGCTAAATCATTGTTTTCACTTTTGACTTTTACCTTTACAGCATTTAGGAATTCCCTTTCTCCTCAAGATTACAATATTGAAAACATGGAATTTATTTTTTCTTTCAGTTTTTGCTATAGGGTGTATGTACTCACCAAAGAGAGAGACAGAGAAAGAGAGATCACCCCCACAGGGGGAATGGACACACCATAGTCCCTTCTCCTCCATTCTCCTCTCAGGATTTTGGGCATGGATGCACACATTCCTGGCATGATTTTCAAGACACCAAGTGCAAGACTTGAACCGAGGAGTCGGGCATGTGGGATCCAGTCACCTTAACCTTCATACCACCTGCTGGCCTGAATACATGGAATTTCTAAAATGCTTTGGTAGTGAAGCCATTTATCTTTTGCTTTAGGAAAAACTGTCCTCTAGAAAGTTTTATTAAACCTGATTAGATTCTGTTTTCACAAAAGTTCTATTAAATAGTCACAACATTTAAAAAATAGAGGTAATAACATTAGGGCCAAAAGGAGAAAAAAGTGGGACCAGCAGTTGGCATAATGGCTATGTCGCTGGACTCCCATGTAATCGACTGTGGTTCAAGTCCCAGACTGGGCAGCTTAAACTCATGCTGGGCGCATGTGCATATGTGCCCAAGATCCTGAGAGGAGAATGGAGGAGAAGGTATTGTGGTGTAGCCATCCCCCCTGGGGGGTAATTTTTCAACTTCTGTCTCTCTCTGTCTTTCTGGGGACTGCATGCACCCTATATATAGCAAAACCTCTAAAAAAAAAAAAAAGGAGAAAAAAGTAAATCTAGCTTTGCAGCAAGGGCGAATGATATCAGATGCATCACTGTTATATCTTTTTTTGAATGGTACTATTTTCCATCCTCTTTTCACAAAAAGACTAGAAGTAATTTCATCACATTACTTTTCAAACCTAGCCATAATTTTTTTAAGCATGGATTTAAACTGTCATCCTATATTACTTTATTATCTAGCTCTGAGTCGTAACTGAAGACACAATCTGGTCTGCCATAGTACAATGTTTAAGTAATTAAGAAAGGCTAAAAATATCAGTACCTGTCTCTATATGAAAATTTTTTTTTTGGAGGTTTTTTGCTATAGGGCATGTGTGCTCACCAGAGAGACAGAGAGAGACAGAGAGATAGAAAGCGAGAAATCACCCCTCAGGGGGATGGCCACGCCGCAATCCCTTCTCCTCCATTCTTCTCTCGGGATCTTGGGCACACATGCACACGCGTCCGGCGTGAGTTTAAGCCACTGGGCCTGGGACTCAAACCACGGTTGACTACATGGGAGTCCAGCGACATAGCCATTACACTAACTGCTGGTCCCTCTATATGAAACTTTTTAAAAGTTTATTTTTATTCATAATAGTTCATGTGCATGCATGAAAGAGACAGAAAGATATTCTTGACAGGGTCTTTTCACACCCCAGCCCTCCAGTTTGTCAGAATCTTGCACATGTGCATATGCACCCAGCATTTCAGGTCTACTGGGTCAGGGCTCCTAACCACAGTCAGCCATGTGGTTTCCAGCACTGTAGTTCAGCATGCTACTGTCTACACCACAAGGGCTGGGCCATTTCTATGTGACATCTTAGGGAAATACTACTGGCAATGTATCACAGGTGTAAGACATTGGGTCCTAGACTCAAGCTGTGGACTGAAACCCAACTGTGCCATTTATTACCTGCAAGACCCTGGACAAGATACTTAACATCTCTAAACCTTTTTTTTTCTCTTCTGTATAATGGGTAAAACAGACCTACCTCACTGAGTTGGGGATAAGATTAAATAAAATTATGCATGTAAAGCATTCAGTATAGTGCTGGTCATATAAAAAAACACATAACATATGTTAGCTTCTGTTATTATCTTAGCTTCTCTTATATTTATTTTTGAATTCTGCAAATTTTCCATTACCTCTTTTGCTAGCTTCTGTCCTTGTTCCACACATATAGGTTTTTCTTTCATATCATTCAATCTTGCTAAAGTTTTGGGGTCATCTCGGAGATCAATCTAATTAAGAAAGAACAAATAATGTTCCATAATATTACAGGTCTTTAAAAAAGAAATCAAAACATGTAGTCCTATTTAATCACCACAAATCTACCCACCAAATCAAACAAAAGTATTTACTTTTTAAAAGCTGTTATATAACTGCTTTCTTTTGGTACTATTTTTCCCCCCAAAATATGATAGAACTTACTAACTTACAACTAAGATTATTTGCTGAATGTTGTGATATGTCTGATATAACCCTCCTAGATAGGACACAGTGCCTATTCTCAAATGGATAAAATCAAACTAGATATACCTGAGTGCCTATTAATAAAAAGGGTACATTTGGTGCGTATTCCTTAAGTTCTGGTACCCACTCCTCTTTCACATTTTGAAATGAGGCTGGATTTACCACAGAGAAGCATATAAGGAAGACATCCGTCATGGGATAAGACAAAGGCCTCAGACGATCATAGTCTTCCTAAGGAAAGAAGAAAAGAAATCTCATTATTTCTATTTACATTTGTATAATTTACTAATAACATGTACATTAGATTATATGGCCAAAGAAGCAAATGCAGGAGTATTCCATAAGTGGACCACATGACACTCTACATAAAACAAGATAACTATCTGGTTTTTTGTTATTCTCTTTTGAAATTCTGAACATGGGTAGGATGAAAATGTGACAACCTCACTAATAACTACAAAGAAAACTTGGAGAAAATAATGACTACTAGTGCTGTTACTAAAAACTTTTTTTTTTTTTTTTTTTTTTTTTTTTAGGTTTTTGCCACAGGCATGTGTGCTTGCCAGAGACAGACAGAAAGAGAGAAAGTGAGAAATCAGCCCTCAGGGAGATGGCCACACAGCAATCACTTCTCCTCCCTTCTCCTCTAGGGATTTTGGGTTAGGATTAGGTTGCATGGATGCACATGTGGCTGGTATGATATTCAGATCACCAGGTCCTGGACTTGAAACATGGCTGGCCATGTGGGACTCCAGTGCCTTAAATACCACACCACCTGCTGGCCCCTAGAGCCATTTTCAACTGAAGAGTCTGCACCAAAAGTTGAGCAGAGTTGGTGCTAAGTATTACCATCTATGATAACCAATAGATACTAACTAAATGTTTACTACATGCCAGTACTATGTCTTCCATGAATTACTTACTTTATCCTTACAACTACATGCCATGTACGCACTGACCTGTTTTTCATTTGAGTAAACTGAGGCACAGGTGTTAAATAACTTGCATAAAGATGTGCAGTTATTAAGTAAAGGAATTGAAGCTCAAACCCTGGCAATTTTTACTCTAGAGCCTATGCACTTAACCACTGTACAGCTTCACTGAGACCTTCAATTTTGCTTTCCCTGTTTATATAGTTTTCTGAATTATGTCTGTCTGTGAAAATATAAAAGATAAAACCAAAATAAATCCATACAATCCATTTTCCCCAATTTCCATTCCCTTTTGCAAATATTTTCTTGTGTATCCTGCTAGTTATTTGCCTTCTCCATTTTTCCATCCTATAAGGACACTGGGTGAGTGTGTCTCCTAACCTGCTAAGAACTGCATATATCGAGTTTTTGGGAAAGTCATAATACATTTTTTCACAGAAAAATATTTCATGACTTTCCCAACAACCTAATATATCCCTACAACTGTCCATATTTATACATGTGTACATGAACAAGATTGTGCAATATTTGCTGTTCTGCACCTTTCTTGTCCCGTCTTGGAGATCTGTCCAAATCAGAATACATTAGACTACCAATTATTTCAAACTCCTGCTTCATATTTCATGGAGGGCTACACTCCTGAGGGTTGCTTGGTTTCTATCACAAAAGGCAGTGAACATTCTATTTTGTACAGACTATTTTATGTGACATAAAATTCTGCTTATGTACATTCTGGTGAGTGAACAGGGGAATCCACCTGGTTTCAAGGAAACTTCATTTTTAGCTTAGGTCTCCTCTCTTCTTAAGTGACCTGCTTCACTACTAGAACTGCACAAGTGTGGAACAAGGAAATATTAAATACATCTTCTATTGGAAGTCTCAGCAATAGCACTTTCCTCATGGAACAATCTTCCTTTCATGTCATCTTCTGTTTGTTACTTTTCTTAATGTAACTTTTTTTTTTTTTTTTGTGGAGAGGTTTTTGCTATAGGGCGTGTGCGCTCGCCGGAAAGACAGAGAGAGAGAGAGAGACAGAAAGCAAGAAATCACACCCAGGGAGGATGGCCACACCGCAATCCCTTCTCTTCCATTTTCCTCTTGGGATCTTGGGCACGCACGCACATGCGCCCAGCGTGAGTTTAAGCCACCGGGTCCAGGACTTGAACCGTGGTCGACTACATGGGAGTCCAGCAACATAGCCATTACACTAACTGTTGGTCTCCCTCTTAATGTAACTTTCTACTCAAAATCATAAATGTCTCCAACTACTGACTTGGGAGGTTAAGACTTTTGAAGGGTATATACCTAAAATCTAGAGCTGTGGGTATTGAAAGATTTCTAAGGTGTTGGCTATCATGGGATAAAAGAGAAAATATCATCCCCAATCTTCTGGACCTGTTATTTTATTTATTTTTTAATTGCCAGAGAGCACACATGCTTGCTGAAGAGCCATGAGGAGAGAGGGGAGAAGCACTCCAATGAGGTGTGGTCACATCTCACTGTCTTCCCTTCCATTTTTTCCATCCTATAAGGACACTGGGTGGGTGTGTCTCCTAAACTGCTAAGACTGGGGCTCAAACTGCAGTTGGCTATTTGGAATCCAGCTCCCCTAACCACTAGACTATGAGGCCAACCCCTGCATCTTTTCTTTTTAAAAGTAGAACCTCTAATTGCTTCTGATGTGAAGAAATTTGATTTCATTAAGAAATCAAACAGAGGAGTATAAAACATGTAACACCTTAACCTATCACTATGAAAAGACTACTAGCAGAGTCACAGCACTGCAGGCAGTTAGGGCACTGCTGTGTGATATTGAAGCCATATAGGAGAACCCAGGTTCAGATCCCTATTGTCCTGAACACACCAAGTGTGCCCACACCACCCCTGATCCTGCCTGACTAGAAGGCTAGGAGAAGGAATGCAGCATGGCAAGACCCTGTAAGGATACCTGCATGTCTTTCTCTTTCTTGCTCTCTCATGAAATAATTTTAAAAAGATAAAAAGAGGGGCCAGCAAGTAGTGTGGTGATTAAGGTGCTAGATTCCCACATGGCTGACCATAGTTTAAGTACTGAACCTGGCAGCTTACTTTCTCACTTTCCCTTTTTCTCTCTGAGAAAAATAAATAAATAAATAATCACTCTTTAACAAAATACAAAGAACACCTTTTGAAAATTCGGGTTAAGTGTTAAATAGTACAATTGGGTACATCAAACCACAAATCCACATAGAACAACAACAACAACAAAAATCAGCACTTAATTTTAGCATCCTAAACAGCAGCTCCAAGCTTCTGAGCAAATCTGTGCTTGATATGGTCCAGGAATGAAGGGCTTTCATTAAAATCATTCCTCATCCATGGGTTTCCAGTTTTCACAGAAACAGAAATGAGGATCTTATCCCACAGGATTATGAGAAATAAATGAAATAATATAACTAAACCACTCAGCCTAGAGCTTGGCACGTAAAAGAACTTTTCCCATGCTTTGATATAAATTCTTTTTTTATCTCATGAGAAACTGATTCTCCTATTCTGCTGCAAACCTATGCAAGTTCCCATGAGTTGCACAATTTCCTGGCTTTGTTTTGTGTCTTCCTCTCACCTTTAGTGAGATAAAATTTTCTGCAGTGGCATCAAAATGAATCAAACTGAAGTCCCTTGAGGACAATATAATTTTCAGATTAATAAAAAGATCCATTATTACTTTACTAATGAGTTTTTTTTATAACTAAACTGACATAGACTAAATGTAACAAAGTAAGATTTATGTCTTTTAAGGAAAACCAAATTAGGGGCCAGCAGGTGGCATGGTGGTTAAGGTGTTGTACTCCCATATGATCAACTATGGTTTGAATCCTGGACTTGGCAGCTTGAAAATCACACTGAGCACATATGCATGCATGCATGCCCAAAATCCTAGGGAGAGAATGGAGGAGAAGGGATTGTGGTGTGGCTATCCTCCCTGGGGGATGATTTCTCACTTTTCCTCTCTCACTGTCTCTCTCTGGTGAGCACACGCACCCTGTGGGCAAAAACCTTAAAAAAATAAAAAAAAAAAAGAAGAAGAAGAATAAGAAGCAGCAAGAAAGCCAAATATTAAGTATTGTTTTTTCTTTAAAAAATTTTATTTTATCAAACATTAAAAATTTTAATGAAAAATTTACTTTTCAAGCAAGTTTACCTCACCAGAGATATCTATCTAGAACTATACACTCTCTCTGGGGGGTATATGACAAAAAATAAAAAGTAATTGAGGGGCCAGGCAGTTCTGCAGTGGCAACACCACTAGACTTACATAGGCAAGGTCCTTGGTTCCTGCCCCAAATCTCTCTGAGCATGCTGGGCATCTGTGTGCATGTCCATGATCCAGGCTGGCTGAGACTGGGATGGATTGTGGCATGAGGACCCCGCTGGGGGTGCCTGGTGCCTGTCTCTCTGTCTCCCTTTTTCTCTCCCTCTCTATCTCTCTCTATTCTCCTCTCTCATGGAAGAAATCAATAAAATTTTAAAATAAGTGAATCTTGACTTTTCTCAATGAGAGACATGCAGGCACAAAGAGACCAATCATTTTTTAGATATTTGTTAAATTACAGATTTTGTTGGAATAATTAAAATGTGAAGAACTGGGACCAACAGTTAGTGTAATGGCTATGTCGTTGGACTCCCATGTAGTCAACCATGGTTTGAGTCCCAGACCCGATGGCTTAAACTCACACTGGGTATGTGTGCATGTGCGCCCAAGATCCCAAGAGGAGAATGGTGGAGAAAGGATTGCGGCATGGCCATCCCCCCTGGGGGGTGATTTCTTGCTTTCTGTCTCTCTGTCTCTGTCTTTCTGGCGAGCGCATGTGCCCTATAGCAAAAACCTCTCCAAAAAAGAAAAAAAATGTGAAGAATTGAGAGTTATAAAACAAAACCAAACAAAAACAAGTACACTGAGAACTCCTCGGAACAAAATGTTACTTCTAAAGTCTAAACTAAAATGAACTCTTTCTGCCTGACATCTCTGGCTAAATAATTGGCAGTTATTATAAGAATGAGACTTTTCTGCTTCTATCCTGCCCGAGTAATTAGAAGTCTAATAATAGACAGCAAATTGAGAAAATTAATTATCCCTTCTATACACTGTACCCTGCATCATCTAAAATTGTTTATACCCACTACACAGTATCTTGAGTAAACTTACTGTGAAATGCTGGGTTTAGGAATAAAACAATGGAATGGAAGCATGCAGAATCCTTCATCCTAAGCTATGTGTTTTCAATTTGAGAACGTGAAGAAAGCGAAATGTAGAGCAAA